ATACATACAAGACCACAGAAATTATACAAGAACCAAGAGAATATGAAGCCAACTCTTCCATACAATATTAACCAAAGATTAGGCATACACAAAATTATTCAATTGCATAATGCTACTTCATGTCTATATCCGAATCTCACTGTTGTGTTGTTTAAGTGCATACAAAATTGAAAGTTATTATGTGAATGATACACAAGGGAAAGCCAGAATCAAATCGTATAACTTATCACACCTATAAGTATAAACAATTTAGTATATGCAAACAAGCATCCATTTCTAAATGAAATTCATCATCTAATGTGTACGTCAACAATGTTTTCACTTCCAGTAAATATATAATATAGAAGTCAAAATGAACAGCCTATGGTATGGGTGTAAAGCCAATCATTAGAACTGGCAAATCGTCCGCACCTGATATGCCTTTGCCTGATGAGCACTCTGGCATGGTGGATTGACTTGGCCATACCTGCCTTAAACACAAGAGTTTGCAGGCGGCGCTCAAGGAAATTCTCTACTGTTAGAGCCAATACATAATCGAGCTTGTTCTGGCTCTCATCCAGCAGCCCATACCTGTTCATCCTCCTCAGAAGGGCTTCACCCTCGAAAATACGACGAGGATCCTTCTCGTCAAGAGTCAGAAGATTTCTAGCAGCATTTCTGATGCGGCTCAGTGCGTACTGAACCCTCCAGAGTTCCCTCTTGCACCTAAGTCCATATTCTCCAACAAGCTTCAGCTCAGCATCTAGTCGCTCCTTCTCATAGGGACGTCGGGGCTTCTTAAAAGTCTTCCCATCTGTAAATAAACATGCATATAACAGTTCAGTAAGCAATTTAAACATTGATATAGCTAACAATCAGAGTGCAGGCCAGGGGAACCCTTTCTTTCTCTATGAAAAATATAAATTAGTATTAGACAATCATTATCAAGCCTTCAAGTTATTTTGGATCAGTACACTATTGCAAACTTCACATCCGAACTTGGGTGTTCAAATGAGTTAAATTATTTCATAAAAGTGCACATGCCCATAGCGGGTTTGCATATAGAAAATAGAAAATCTTGCAAGCTTATCAACAATATGTTATATGCTCTCATAAGCTTCACCTTTGACTTGGGTGAGCAAGTGAGTTAATTATCTCATAAAAGTATCTTACGTATTCTGAATATACAATAAAATGATTGCCAAGCCAAATGTTTCAGTAGTTTCAACAAATAATGAAGCAGCAGCAAAGATTTGTACTTTTTTTGACAGCATATGCTGTATCCTAATTTTCACACAATCTCAATTTCTAGGTAAACAAAAACAAAACTTTTCTTCATAAATTATAAAAAGATACATATAATAATAATGAAAGCATTAAGATCACTGATAATGCAGTCCGTACTACTTAAAAAGAAACATTATTTACATACATTCAAACTTGTAAACAGAAATCAGGAAAAAAAATCACAAAAATGGCACCAACCGATACGAACAGCTCAAAACGCGAGATGAAGCAAAAGCCTCGAAGATCAACAAGGTAATAAACATCAAAATACACACTCCCATTTATAAATCACAGACATATGCGTATTGCTCTGTATGTACCATTAAATGACGAGTAAGATGCTTACAGTTGCGGTAAAAAGAGACGTGCACCATTGTTGTTGACCGGCACTGACTCGATCTTCAATCCGGCGATCTCTTTCTGCTGAAGGCAACAGAAATTAGGGTTTCAGCTTTTAAACAAGAAGTTTGTAAGGGCTATTTATATATTAGTTGTTTCAGGCCAAAGCCCTAATGGGCCTTAAAGTTTAGTCAAAAGAGTGTTGAGAATTAATAGTATGGGCTTCAGCCCAATAGTTATTACTTAATTATTTGAGGAAATTAGGTCAATTACTCTAAAAATGAAAATGAAAGGAATTAGATTAATGCACTTAAAACAAGTTAAACATCTTATAATCGTAATTAATACGTCTTATAAAAACCTAAAATCTTCCAACTGAGTACAAGACCACAATTCCGTCATTCTTGCAGAGAGAAACCTTAATCAACCACTATACGAAGTCCTTTCACCTACACAAAGAAGAAGCATCACCTACACGAAGAAGAAGGTTAAAGGAAAAATACATGGACTGTGTGGAATCAAAATAGCCATATTATTGTAGAATAATCAGGTCTTTGAAAAGGGAAAATTTAATTTAGTTCTTTGAGCACTAAAAATTAGGATTTTTCTTCACAGTAGAGAATTTTTCAAAGGCAAAAATGGATGAATTTCTTTTTGGGTTCTTGATCCCTTTAGCATTTAGAGGACACCAGAGAATGTGTAGAGTTGTCAAATTTTTGAAATCATTTTCTCGAATGAATTTTGAGCATTTCCATCTTCAATTGTTGTTTATTTGGATCTATGGTGATAGAAATATAAATGATTGTATTATTATCAATGAATATTAAAAT